ATATATATGAAATTTTAAAAAGCAGTACCGATGAACCTAGTGGCAGGGCAGGAATAAAGACGCAGACGTAGAGAGCAGACTTGAAAGCACAAGGGGGAAGGGGAAACTGAGATAAAGTGAGAGAGTAACATTGACGTATAAACATTACCAAATGTGAAATGGATGGCTAGTGGGAAGCAGCCGCATAGCACAGGGAGATCAGCTAGGTGCTTTGTGCCCACTTAGAGGGATGGGGTAGGGAAGGTGGGAGGGAGGCTCAAGAGGGAGGGGATATGGGGATATATGTATACATATAGCTGATTCACTTTGTTGTACAGCAGAAACCAACACAACATTGTAAAGCATTTATACTCCAATAAAGATGTGGGAAAAAACCCACAAAACTGAGGAGCATTTATATCATTATGACTAAGCAAATATTCTTCACTACAGAATCAAAGGGAAGCTAAGAGCCCATAGAGTGCACCACTGTTCCAATGACAGATTCTATGCACTTAAAAGAGCTTTCCTTACAATCCACCACTTGCTTAAAATCAGGCCACATTTTGATTTGCTTCCTATTTGAGCTGTACCTTTAATAATTTTTTGTTGTTGTTTTTCCTGAAGTTGTTATTACCTCTCTTTTTTATTGTTGGTAGAAGAAACATGTGCTTTCTACATCATATCCCTAGTATCCTCAAATTCTTTCTCATTTATTGTTTGGAATCTTCTATTCTTTTTGGAGCCTACTGGCCTCCTGATATAATTGGGTAGGTTGCTTCATTTGAGCCTATTAATGCTTTTGCATAGCTTTTTGTCTTTACTGCAGTTACTAATTGCCTTCTGTTTTTCTTGCTTGCTTTCTGTTTTGTATCACAACTTTAATCTCTTGCAGTATACCAATAATATTCTCTACTCTGTGGAATGTCCCCTTCTCACATCATCCTCAGAAACCTCTTTCCTGGAGCCTTCTACCCTCCCACTCTAATGAAGACTGACTGCTCTCCAGGCTTGCTGAACAATTATATCCTGCATGGCTTTTCATGTCTGCCCTGAATTGGATACATTATTCCCTGGATCTCATATCTTCTTTCTTGGTTTACTCTCTTGTTTTGCTGAAATACACCCTCAAATGACTTTCTTAAAAAGGTTGAGTAGGATGTAAACTTCCTTGGTCCTTTCATCCTCCGGCCTGCCTCACTTCTATATAAAATAAAGGCATTGGGCAAGATGATCTCTAATGCCTATTCAAGGAGTAAAATTCTGGTCAGTGTGCATTCTATAAATAGCATGTTGATAGTATATCAAGGAGAAACTTTAAATGGTTCCTGCTCTCAAGGAACTTACAATCTATCTAGATAGACAAATAATAAACTCTTGAAACAATAATAAAAAGGCAACAATACAAAAGATGCCACAGGGTAGGGCATGGTTCATCATCAACTAGAGGCTCAGGCTTAAAGCAAAGAGAGAGAGAAGCTGAGCCAACCTGTGGTGCTCCGACCAGGGAAGCAAGACCTTAGCTGAGTGTCAAAGAGTAGGCAATATATTAGGGACAGATTAAATATTTATGAATATTCAACAGTAGATTAATATCCAACATTAATCTGATGGAATGGTTAACAGTCACTGGAAGTTCTCCTCTGTCCAACTTTCCCTGCCACTATCTGAGTTATCAACATTTTCATTTCACCAAGTCAATCAAGATAAATAATAGTTTTCAAATATGAAAGTATCATTTGGATCCTAACCAATAGATAAACCCTCTGGCCATTTGGGGGCATAACGGTGAACTTCCATTACATGTATGAGTAATTGTGTGTACTTATAAATGCCCTACCAGTTGGACTATGAAGGTCCATGGTCTTTATTAGTAGACTTTCACTGAATAGGAAATTACCATCATCCATTTTTCAAATTTATTTTGCATTGTTCCAATGAGGTGTCAGAGCGATCATAAATGACTTCTCCTTCCCATCCACTCCCAGGAAAGGAAACATCCCTCTTATGTATGTTATCCCAACAGCACTGTTGCTTGGGTGGAGAAGGCAACAGGGAACTGTAAGGACTGGGCTTCTCCATGGCAGGTCCTGCAGACTGGATGGACCTGAGACACTCTACCAGAGAAAAACCGTGCCTTCATTTAGCCCAACACTGGCACTCTCATCCAATTTTGCAAATGAGGAGAGGACTTGCAGGTAAGGAAGCTTCCAGAAAAAAGAAGAGCTCTTTGGGCCAATTCTGTGACCAGTTTCCAGAGAGTGGGAGTGAAGTGAGGCTGGCAAGTGCTTGGGGCCTCGTGATGGATACGCTCAGCAAAGTCTAACCCGCTACTACTCCCTCTGGGAGGCTTTCTCTGAACACCCACTCCAACCCTGGAAGAATCAATTACTACTCAAATACTCTTCCTGCTGCCATCATGGCACTTCCAAATGTAAACAAAGTTTGCGTCAATTTCCCTCAACTATCTATGACATCTTGACTGATTTATTCATCATCACATCCCCAGTGCCGGGCATGTGGTGGGTGCTCTGTGTTTGTCGAATGAATGAGTGAATGCATTAAAAGAAGCTTCGCTTCCTCAAAGGGCAGAGCCAGACACGAATACTCAGTTTTTGCAGGAGCATCAGATGAGCCAGGAGGACCTGGAGAGGTAGATCTGGGTTGAGGGAAAAATTTCTGAGAGCTGGGACCATTCAAACCACTGGGGAGGGGGCAGTGCAAAAAAAAAAAAAAAAAGCCTGCAAGTTTTGCCTGGGCTGCTTTGCCGTCCAGGACTCTACTGCAGGTCGAGGGGAACAGAGAGATCAATAAGTACTCAGAAGAAAGGTCCTGAGATGAGAGCAGCACTCAGCTCTGTAGAAGGGCAAAGAGCCACAGGGACCCACGGTCTCCGGAACACTCTCTAACGGCCAGACCCTGAGCTTTACGTAATCTCATTTCATCCTCCCAGCAACCTGGAGAGACACGCATCCCTGACTCACAGATATGAAACACCAACAAAGATCTGGAACCCCTTCAGGGTGGAGAGGGGCAGGGGCCTGTGCACTCAGTCCACTGTACAATGACAGTCAAAACAAAATGATAAAAGGCCTGGATTTCGTCATTGAAAATTCCTAAGTCTGTACACGCATGGCTCATCTCAGCCTGTTTTATTACTTTTGTAGTTTGCTTTATTTCCTCTTTATTTTCTTCTGGCTTCTTAGAAAGGTTTCTTACAAAAATCCCATAGGATTCTGATCTAACAAAGGGAAGTGTAAAGAGAGAAGAGCTGGATGCCCAGGGCAGGGGGGCAGAAGGGCAGGGGGCGTGGCAGCTGGGCTAAGGGTGGGAAAGGGACCTAGTGAGGCAGACCCAGGAGGGCGGGCGCAGGTGCACAGGCGCTGTGGCCTCAGCCAGCAGAGACTTGACGTAGCTCCTCCCCCCAGGCCCCAATGTGCTTCTTTCCTCAAAGACCATAAGATGGCATTTGCTTCACCACTTTAAGAAAAGTGGAATCGAGACACATCCCTGCTCGTGATCTACACATCCCTGCTCGTGATCTTCACATCCCCGGAGAGATGGACAGGCAGTGTGTTTTTACTCCAGCAGGTGGGGATTTCTGACAACTTAAATTAACGTCGCTTGCGTCCCCACCGTGTCTAAATGTACTAAGAGAGCCGCCCTGATGACACCAACCAGGCTGATGAAGGCACCAACAAGGCGGACGCCCAACTAAAGACCACCTAACTTCCTGCTCAGACAGATACGCTGCTCTGGCCACAGCCCCCCACCTCCCCCCAGGGGGCAGAAAGGTGAGCACGAAGGGGAAAGTGAACGCGACCTGCGTGGGTGGGTGTGATCTTCGCTATCAGCGCTGCAGAGGACCCTGCAGAGCTGGCTGAGAGCGGGGCGTGAGAAAGGCCAAAGCAAAACAGAAAACCACTCCTAGCTGACCTCTGTTCTTGGGAACTTGGAGCCTTACAGTGGCAAGCTTTCTCCTGGGCACAGAGGTGCCTGCCTCTCCAGTCCCGCACGGAATTGGGGGGGTGGGGTGCTCTTAGCACGGAAGAACAGCCGGTGCCAAGCTGGCAAGCTGGGAGTGGGGGGAGGGCGTGCAGACAGATTTGGGGGTGGGTTTAGGAGAGGGAGGGTCAAGAAAACCTAGCATTTCCTCCCTTTATGCCCTCTTCGGCACTCCCATCTCTGTGATGGGCCTCTGTTTTAAAATTTGGGACACTGGTGCCATCAAGGACCCTTCAGGCAGCCAAAGTCCGACACCGAATTACAACCGCGCTCTCTCCACTTTCTCAGGAACGGAAGTGATGGGATGGAGTTATGGGGTCACCTCTGGCCAAGTGCGGTTCAAACCCACAGGCATCTAAGCTAACAAAATCATCCCCCTTCCCCTCGGCGTCCTGCGGGGCTGCCGGCGGAATCGCGGGCACTCGGGAAGGAGGTGGGGGAGACTCTGGCTAAAGAGCTCTCGCCCACACACGCCCAGCACCGCGCGAACGCAGGCGGGGCTGCGAGGAGCCTTCTATCCGGGCTCGCCCCGCTTTTCCACAGCTCGGCCGACTTCTCGAATGCCCGAAGACCTTGGTCACCCCCACCCGCGGCCCCAACGCTCTTCCGGCTGGGGGCCCGCGCCCCTCCGAGACAGGAGCTCGTAGGGGGGCGAGCGCGGCGGAGGGAAAAGACAGGATTTGGGGGCGCCTGGAGGGGAACCTAGCCAGGGCCGAGAGAGCCGCCCGGGCCGCCGCCCGCGTGATCCAACATTCCCGGCAAAGTTTCTGGCTCTTTGGGCCCGTATCACCTGGCTCCCAGGTCGGAGAAGGTGAAAGGTGTGTCAGGAGCCCTTCGCCGCGCCTCCCTCCGGGCGCCCACTCCAGGCGCTTCTGCCACCTGCCAGAGGGCGCTGGGAGCGCCGGCGCAGCACATGCCGCCCGTGGTTGCCGTCCGAGGGTCCCTCCCCGGCGCCTCCCCTGCCGCCCTCCCGCGCCGGTGCCCGGGGCGCAGGGGTCGCGGCCGCCGCGTCTTACCCAGTCCAGGCACGAAAGTGTTGAGGAAGAGACAGATGACGGCCACGGGGAAGGGCATGTAGGGGATGGCGGCGCGCAGGGGGCCCTTCTTCTCGCGGACCTGCACCACCACCCCGCTGGACGAGGACGTCCCCCGGTCCGCCGCCGCCACCGCAGCCACCGCCGCCGCCGCTGCCGCCGTCTCGGCGTCTTTGTGCGAAGGCTCCATGGCGGGGCGCGCTCCCCGGGAGCCGGGCTGCCGCGGCCGGGACTGCCGCCCAGTGCACAGGAGGCGGGTGGCGGCCGGCTCCGGGCTCCGGGCTCCGGGCTCCGCGCCGAGCTCAGGCGTCCGGCGTGCTCGGTGTGCCGCGCGGCTAGCCCAGAACCCCGCACTCCCGCGTCCCCAAGCGCCCGGCCCTCTGCCGCGCGCTCCGCTGCGCTCCCACAGCCCCGGCGGAGGGGCGGGGAGGGCGGCGTGACACTCGGTGACAGCGCTCCGACGCCCCTCCCCGCGGGGCCCCTTCCCCGCCCTCCCCTCCGCTGCCCCCACCCCCCAAAATACCACTTACAAATCAGGGAGGAGGGAAGAAAGTAGAAGAGGAACGCAGAGGGAGCTGGTGTCCAGGCATTGGGAGGAATGGACACACGTCTCGCTCCCCAGACAGGTGAACCAGGAGGGAACCTCAGCCAAGGACACAGCGAATTGGGCGTGTGCGCTCGGCTGGTACGGCGGGGAAAGGCTTCGAGGTTGAGTCCTTTACTCCGGAGGATGCATTTAACGCTAGGGAGATGGAGGCAAGGAACGCGCCACGCCTGGTATCTAATACGCTTTAAATTCGTTCTGATTTAAATGGACTTGAGTCATAGAAAAAGCGATTTTAGGATCGATAATCGAGCTGAAAGCAGGAGACGCAGCTTTTCAAACAGGTCCATGAGACTAGTTTAAATGGGACCCTTCCTTGCATACACACACACACGCACACACACACGGATGCGAAAAGCTAAAAGAAATGAGCCTGTTGCTCGGAACTGGGGTTGGGGCGGGGGTGGTGGTGTTGGGGACCATCCCCTGAACAGTTCTGGGAGAAACCTGGGGCTTTTGTGAGCTGGACCTGGTGTTTAAAAAGCCAGAGAAGACACAGCGCCATCTGGTGTTGATAATGCAGCAATTGGTAGAAGCAGAAGGATGTGGCCGGGCCGTGTCCAAGCCGGCACCAGGAGGCCCCATATTTAATCAGATTTCCTGAATAACGCCACCTTCACCTCCACACCTGGAAAAAGTGAACGAAAGCAACTGCCTCTTATGTTAGGGAGGGATTCAAGGCATCAGAATTATCCAGATGTTCAGCAAATTGTCTGCATAAATCCCCTTCCTTTTCAGTAACCCTCTTTCTCCAGGAAAAATGGTGATTGAATAATCCCCAAACAACCCAGGGACTCCGAGGAAGGATGCTAAAAAGAACCATGGGTATTATTTTATGGGTATCTGAATAAAATAATTTTAAAAGCAGATGGTCAGCAGGGGGTAGTGGTGATACTGGTGCGGACACACACAGTAACTAGTTAGGCCTGGCAGTCAGAAGTGAACAGGACCGAAATGTTCGTCTCTATTCGGCCGCTAATTACCTGTATGACTTAAAAGAACTCATTTAACCTCTTATGGGCTTGAGTTACTGTGACTGTAAAATCAAAGCAATATTCAGTTTAATACTTGCTTATTGAAGACCTAATATGACTTGGATTCTGGGGAGAGGGAAAGGAGTAAAACCCAGCCCCTGACTTCAAGAGTCTAATAGAGTAACTGATAGATACTAACAACTACAAGGGACAGAATTACAGACGGCGATGAATGCTGTAGCTGGGTAAGCTGAAGGTGCTGGGAAAACATGGAACCATCTGTGAAAACAGCTACAGAGGAGAGGCGTCAGGAGGTTTCCCAAAGAAGGTGATAGTAGATGAGATTTGAGCAAAGACTACAGTTAACTACTTGCAGGAGATTTATTTTATTTTAAACAAACATTTATTTATCCAAGCAGTCTGCCGGGCACTAAGCACTTTACATATTTTAACTCAGTTAATCCTTACCACACTCTGTGAAGTATTATTTATTACCCCATTTTACCAATGGGAAAATTGGAGCACAGAGAGGTTAAGTAAACATTCTTTGAACATTCTTTTGCAAAGCACCTGAATGGTTTTAGGGCCACTAAAACGGTTTCAGGGAAGGAAATGGATTTACATCCTCCAGTTTTCTAGATGATTTGCTTAATATCTAGAATGGATGTCAGAAAGACATCTAGGCAGAGCAACAGCATATATGAAGGCATGGAAACCTAGAAAAGTAGGAACATTTCAGGAATTCAAGTGTGGCAGAACTAAGGCTGGTATGGGCAGGGGCTAACGATGGCTCTGGTGGGGTGGGCAGGTAAGGACTGGCAAAGGAATTTGGATTATATGGAATCACTGCAACATTTTAAGCAGGCATGTGGCATGACTTGAATATTCTAGTCACTATTACTATGTAACAAACTACCCACAGACACAGCTATTTTGTTATGATCACAAATTCTGTGGATCAGGAAACTGGACAGAGTACAGCTCAGACAGGTCTTCTTTGCTTTATGATGTCTGGAGCTGAGAGGACTCCAATGGTGGCAGCTGTGGCTAGAGGGTCCACTTCCTAAAGGATTCTCAATTCTGATACCTTGACTGGGATAACTTGACAGCTGGCTCAGCTGGGACCGTTCCGTAGAGCATCTACACATGGCCGTTCCACGTGACGTGGACTTTTCACAATGTGGTGGCTGCGTTCTGGGAGAAACTTCCCCAGAGGGGGCATCGCAGGACCAGTGGAAGCTGTGTGGACCTTCTGCCCTAACCTCAGAAGTCACACAGTGTCAGTTCTGTGGGCTCTGTTGGTTGAAGCAGTCGCAAACCTGCTTAGATTCAAATGGAGGACACCATACCTCTCAATGGAGTAATGTCAAAGAATTTGAGCCCTGGTTTTAAAACTACCCTAATGAGATACCGTTTGGGGGAAGGACCACTCAGTCAACAGTGTGGAGGATGGATTCGAGGGGGTTGTAGACAAAAAAAAAAAAAAGTTTCCGTTATATCAGTAAACAACGAATGTTGCCCTCCATCAAGTCATCCGTTACTGTAGCCACCCTGACAGTGCGCCCTGAGGGGAGTTCAGGATGGAGGGAAACGGGATACTGGCCCGTTAAGATGCGTATCAAAGGTGTAATTTCAATGAACCCAGACTCTTGCATCTTCCCAGACATAGAAAAGCACTAAAATTATTAACTTGAGATGTCTGTTTCTTGTGAGTAGCAGTAATCTTTTGATGCTGGACTCCATGTTTGTTTGTTTTTCAACGAAAATTCCTATACATCCCAGCTCCTCCCTTACCTCTTTAAAAGAGTCCTTCAGAGCTATCTGAGAGGCTATTTCCCAGGCTATAGTCATCAGTAAGGTCCCCTAATAAAACATAACCAACAACTTTTAGGTTGTGCATTTTTTGTGGGGTTTTTTGTTTGTTTGTTTGTTTTTGTTCCTCAGTTGACAGTGTAAAATTAGGGCTCATGAGAGGAAGGACTCTTCCTGACCTCCATGGATGGGGAATAGGGAAGGGATAGTTCCCCAATGAACAAATAATAGTGATATTATTAGCAGACAAAGCGGAAAGTTGAGTTTGAGGGACTGAGGACAGCCAAGGGGTTGTGCGCACTTGTTGATTATATAAGCAGCTGTCTTGACTGTCAGTCAGTGTGAGTCTCAGTAAAGCTATTTGGGCTGCAGACTTTGGAGCCCTCAGCATACAAATAATACTTAAAGCCCTGTGGAGTAACGCAAATGTGGAATAAGAAGACTAGAGTTTCCAGGAAACTCACCAGAGGCTACTGAAACCAAGCAGAAAGAGAGGAGGGAGAAGGAGGTTTTAAAGGAGAAACACTAAGAGTGTTTCATGGGAGCCAAAGAGGAAGATTTTTAATGAGGAGCGGTCAGCCGTGTCAAATGCCATAGAAAGGTCAAGTAAGACCCCGAAAGTGCCTATTAGATTTGGCTGTTAGGAGGTTCAGCTCACTGGAATCCCAGCTCAAAAATCTCACCTACTGTGTCCACTTTCAAGGAATTTGTCCCATTTCACCTAAATTGTTGAATGTGTTAGCATAAAATTATTCATAATATCCTTTTATTATCTTTTTAATGTCTGTGAAATCTGTAATGATGTCTCCTCTTTCAGTCCTGATATTGGTCATTTGTGCTTTCTCTTTTTTCTTAATCCCTCTTGCAAGGGGTTTATATCTATTTGACATGGTGACCATGACATGTTTGAAGGTGAGTTTAAGATCTAAGCTACTTCAGGTAGTAAGAGGTCTCCAAAAAAGTTGAAACCTTAAAAAATAATCTCCCCCCGCCAAATCAGACACAGAGGAAACAGAGCAAACAGTTGATTACCTCAGCCAAATACATCTAGGCCATGCATTGGGTCATGAAGATAAAATCTGTTGTTTGGCTTTGTTCTGTCGTCAGCTGAAGAAAGTACCTCAGCTTTGAACCTCTTTTTAGCTGAAAATTTTTTTTTTTGCTTAAGTCAGCTTCCAAATTGTACACGGAATTCATATATCAACCAGGATGGCTCCTTTTAGAAAAGACTACATCGTAGCCTTGGTAGTAGAAAGACAGACTTTATTTGGAGTTCCCTGTATTTAAACAATTTCTTAACTTCTCTGAGCCTCAGTTTCCAAAACTGTAAATAATACTTATCTCATTTGTGTATGTGTCGGGTTTAAGGGAGAAAAATATGTGCAAGATACTCAATAAATGGCAACTGAGTCAGGAGCCTTTTCACCCCAAGTGATAGAAAAACCCGACTCCAATTTAGCTTAGAGGGGAAAAAGGGAATTTATGGACGTGATGGCTTTTTGATGTATGAATGAGGCAAAGCTGAATTTCAGTTCCCAGAATTCCCTTTCTAATCTGTTTCCCTTTAGCGTGGGCTACAGGTGATGATGGCTCTCAAGAGCTGAAGGACAGATGGAGGCGGTGGCCACTTCATACCATACGTGCACCTTCTCTGAGGCATTTAATCAAATACTCATCTAGGTGCTGTGGCGAAGCAATTCTGCATACGTGATTGGAGTCCCTAATCAGTCAACCTTAAGTTAATCTATGAGTGTCCTGGCTGGGCCTGACTTAATCAGTTAGAAGTGCTTTTAAAAGCAGGCTTAGGCCTTCTCTGAGGGAGCAACTCCAAGAGACTCTTAGGTCAGCTGTTGCTTTCCCTTCCTTCTAGATCTTCCTTTGTGACCCAAACCTGTGAACGTCAAGTTTCAAATCTTACCGGGGGCTTCCCACTTGCTTGTGATCTTCTCTCCCTATCTGCCTGGACCTCAGATTTGCTTAGCCAACCCCCACAGCGGTGCAAGCCAATCCCTTGTAATAAATCCATATCTGTATCCTTATCTATCTGTCAGTCATCTGTGAT